ACATTAAAAGAGGGGATGAGTCCAACACTGTTCATTTGTGCACTCTCCTTTTCACACTTGTAACTGGCCCAACACTGTTCACGAACTGGTTTCACTACAGTTTGGTTCACTAAAATGGCTTATGCTCTCCCTCTCTCAACAGCGAATTCACCACCGCCTTTGAGACAACAACTATGATCCGTTTGTTTTTCCTTTTTCTTCTTCACCACCACTGTGCTTCTTTCTCTGCCAAACTCTCTCGTCAGCCACCCTCTACAATTTTCTCTTTAGCTCTTCGGTGTGATCGGTGCCTGAAGAAAGATAGAACGATCCAACCGGGGGAAACTCGATAGAGACACCGTCGCGGGGAATTCAATTTAGGGTTTTTTTTTGTTTGTATTTGTTTTTAAATTTGGAAGAGAAGGAAATTGGAGAACGAAAGCCATGGCTCCAGGCCGGAAGTGTGGAGCAAAAGGCGTGGAGACAAAGAACGATTTGAGTTTGGGCGATCTCGTCCTTGCCAAGGTACCATTGAGTCGTCCATCACATTGCTTTGTTATTTCCTTAAACATATATGATATGACTGGGATTTGCAATTTCCATATTTGGCCGTGTCTCTCTTTGCTTAATTTGTAATATTTGAATAATTGTCCTGCAGAATTTTAGAACTGTCCTAGCTAGAATGCAAGAGGAAAACAGTAGCCCAAGCACTCCAAAAGCTCTTATTAGTGAGTTACAAATACGGGTTTACTTCTTTTTACTTTTTGCCTGTGCTTCTCTTCATTTAGTGAATTGTTTGGATAAGCTTAAAATATTAAATAAATAAATGAGTTTTTTTTTTTTGCATAAATAAATTTTCTTTAGGTCGGAATTAATCCTTTAATTAGCTTGTGTTTGAAACTCATTTTTACGAGAATAGAAATTTTGAAATAGTGATTGACGTGAGAATGTGTGGTGGATGAATTTTTTGCGCGATTGTTAGTTTTAATTCATAAATAAAAATTTGATAATGTGAATTTGTTAATTCTCTGAGACTAAAATATCTTCTCATTAATGCCTTTTGCTTTCTTCTCATACACGTTCTCTGCTTTTGGACCAAACAAAACCTCGCGAGGAAGAAGAAAGGTAAAATCCAAGAAGTAAGATCCAATCGACGCCGTTGGTTCATGAAGCTTTGTAAAATTCATTTTTCCACTATTTGACATTGGTTTTTTATTTTCTCCTGAATTTTCGCTACTT